TTGTTCCTCCTCCTCCTCTCTGGTCATTTGAAATCCCGCTCCCTATACTTTCCTCCATATTCTTATTTCCTGTGTTGTCCCCAAATGTGGGATTTCGCTTTGTCTTCTGCTGAGTCCACCTTCAGCTCATTCATTTTCCTCAGTGAGGTTGTTTCTTTCCATTTCCATAGGGATTTTTGCAGCCCACCGTACCATAATCTGGCATTTCAGCCTGGCATTTCACCTGTTAGTCTCCATCTTATCTCTTTATTCCCATTTTTTTCTGTACCTGCTTCTAGTTTAAGCTTCCAGAAGTACAAGGGTGCTTTTTCCACTCTCTTGACTAAAAGTGAGCAAAGTACCTTCAAGGGCTGTTAAGGCCTGAATCCAAATGTTGCTAAAAATCTATCTCCCAATATAGCTGTTTTATGCATCTTTGTTGTAGCCAAACTGTGTTCACATGGTTGAGGATTCATTTATTAAAATACATGTTTCTCTTCCAGTATTTTTTCTCCTTTACATACAATTTTAGCCTTTTTATCATTTGTATATAATTATTTTATGATTCCTAGCCTCGAATTTTTGCAGGAAAAGAGTGGCTGCCAGGAGGCAGTGACTTCAATCTTGCGTAAATTACTGAAGCCTAAAGGGGAAAATGCAAAATGTGCCAGATCGGCAAGGGGAAAGGAGAAGGCTTTTCAGGGCATCTCGACCAGGAGCTGGATGGTGTGTGTATGGACCCTGCTCCATGCATCTGTTACAACACAAAAAGAGAGGGATAATATATCAGGAGATTGATGTGATTGAACTGTATCCTTCAGGTTCAGATTGTTGTACTCAGAGAGAATGTGGGACTTTTTCAAGGCATTCCATTTTTTTCTCTTATTTGTGTCTATGTGAGATATTCTTCTTCACAAATGCATACCTACTATGTTGTTCATGGAAACAGCCCCTAATTTTGTGTTTGCAACAAACGGATAGTGAAGTCAGAGGGCTGAATCTAGGAGTTTAGAGGGGAAAATACTGGTGAGTGTTGAAATGACAGGGGACAACTTGGAAAAGTTCCAAGTAGGACCTTTAGGGGAAGGATTAGGACAGGGGAAAAGATATTTTGATGGGGAAAATATTAGAAAGGTGTACAATAAGTGATTTTAGTATATTCTGAGCATATCATATCTGACTCCAGATATGATACAAGTTTCATAACATTTTCCACGATGAAAGTATAATCACCAAATCTTTCCAGCATGTAGGAAAATATTATTTTAACAAAAATTCACAGCTGTGAATGATACAACAGGGGAGAGTTTTACTAAATGGTGAGAACTCATCTATCAGTTCCGCAGGAGTCCTCTCTGGAGGACTCAGACCCTTGATGATTTGTCCTTGATGACTTCCTTTGGTAACACAGAAATGACACTGGTTTTATTATGTTTGACACTTAAACTTTAAATTTCTCTCATTTACTTGGTTTGTGTGTATTTCAAGTGTGTATGATTTCTTTTTACTGGGGACGGTAATTCCATTTTTAAAAATACCCACTGTGCCTGATAAAGTACTGCAGAATCGAGTAATTCCCAGTCTATACAGCTGTTTTATACCTAGAGCCACATTCTTAATAAAAGCTAAAAGTCCTGTTCATAAAGTGCAGCTCCAGATTCACAGTGCTCTTGCCATCTCAGATCTGAACAGAGAAAACCTGTCTTTGTGTTGAGGAAGGGCATACAGTGGAATTTCTTAAAAGGTACTCCAACTTTCATTATAGACAATGCGGCATATGCAATTTTTAAAAAATTAATGTTATAATTCTTAATTTTTTTTGTGTGGTACTGGAGGTCAAACTCATGACCTTGCACTTGCGAGGCAGGTGCAGCACCACTGAGCTAAATTCCCAGCCCCAAAATTAATATTATTTAAATTCAAATTATTCTGTAAGAATAAATATATAGAGAACAGGTTATTATATATATTTGATATATAAAATAATATATAATGAAAGCATAATACATTATATATTTATATACACATTATTTATTATATATAAATTACATATATACTTCTGTATGCTCTTCAGTTTGTTGAAATAAATTTTACTTAATTTTGGACAAAGAACAAATATACTCTATGAGTATATATGTGGCTATAAAAACAAAAACAACATGATGTGCTTAAAATCTATCGTTCTTGATAGAGCTAACCTTTATTTCTAAGTGCTTCTTAATCTGCTAACTATCTTTCATCTATGAAGAGATAGTAGAGAACCTGTAACCTGTAGCCTCTTAGGGTAGGTCTCAGAGGCCCCTATAAGAGAAGACCTTAAAGAAAGCCTTCATTTTTTTTACATTAAATATAATTAAACATTTATACTAAAATAGTATGTTCACTCCATAGACTACTAGGCTTGTTTCATTCTATAAATAATGTTACTTGTCTCCTTCAAATATTTGATAAATTGATAGCAATATTTCAAAATCTGTTGTAACTATTCATTTGCAGGGGCCGCTGAAATGTTTCATCAGTTCAAGATTAATGGTTTTGCTTCATTTCAAATCAAACATGTTCAAGTCAATTATAATAGTGTTTATTAAAAATGGACATACACCAGATAGATAAATAGATAGATAGATAGATAGACAGACAGAAAGATAGATAACTGAGGCAAGTGGGCTGAACAAGAGTTCAGGGAAAATTTTTGAAAAAGAAACTCTTCTACTGGTCTGTAACTATAAAAACTACTATTACTGAAAAGGTAGGGCTAGAAATTTAGAGACGTGGAAATTCCAGCTGGTACAAAGTGTGACATCCATGAGGAGCTTTTCATGAGACACTTTAAAATGAAGGGATATTTATTGTGTGAGGAAGAATCCAGAAACAGTGATTTGGTGGTGATACGCAGAAACTGAATTAATAAAAATTGAGATTTCTGTAAACAAGAAATTTTGAACTTTGTTGAATTTCCTCAGAAGAGAAGAATTATAATTACTGATGGAGAAAAAAATAAAAGTCTTAACCATAAGAATACAACAGAGAGAAAAGTCAAGGTACACCCTGAAGCAGGGGGTGGTGATTTAGTATTATCAACATTTGGCACTTGCCTTAGAAAAATCAAGAAGAATGAGACCTAAGGATAGTTTATAAAATAAAAAAAGTTATGGTGTAGAGAGACAATCATAAAATTTTATACCTAGAAAGTTCACCGGCAGACACCCAGGGCAACCCACCATTTAATAACCAAACTGCGTCCTAAAAGAAATTGAAGTTTGCTTGTTAAAAGTCAGTGCAGGACACAACCATTTTGCAATTGTGACTTCATAATCCAATGCCCCTTTGGACTCAAGCACTGAACCTACCCCCCAAAAGCAGGGAATTCCATGGAAGTAATTAACAATGCAATTTCTGGGATGGTAGTTGTTGAAAGTCAACACATGACCATAATTGGGATAAAATTTAAACTAATAAATAAAGGGGCTGACAGTGTCCACAGCAATCAATCAAACCTACTACCTATGAAGATGTAACACAAGTATAGCTCCTATTCAGAACAAACCAAACCAAACCAAAACAAAACAAAACAAAACCTCTTTATTCTATTCAACTACAGAGAAAGAGACTGGAAAGAAGATGAACCATTTCCTAAACCTGCTGCATCTCACACAGGAAACACCTTGTGATATCAAAGAATATTTCCATTCCACTTCATCTATGTAATGAAGTATTTTGAAGACCAAGTATCGAAGCTTTCTACACATCCCACATTGTAGAGTGTAATAACATCAAAACCAGTAATGAGGAAGCACCACCATCAGAGAAAACAGAACAAATGAAAAATGCCTCCTATCCTTACTCTAAAGAAGCCTGATGCTAAGGACAAATGCTTCTTTTTTAACAATGAAAAGAACAGCTTGTCTTATTGAGATGGCAAAAACACAGGTCTATTATAGAAATGCTTGTTAATCTAGGTTCATTCTAATCCTATGATTTTTGAGACAAAATTCTGTTAGAAGCAATCGGTGTGCATACTAGTTCAGTTTCTAAATGATTCTAAATTTCCCACTTCTACTTTATGTGGCAACAAATCTAGTAAAATGTGTAATTTAAAATAGGTACTTTCCAAATGCTACATGAGCAAGGAAAAGGATTTTATTAAGACTTTCTCATATAAGTAAATTTTGTGACAGAAAAGGCTCTTGCATTAAGCAACAGAAAAAGAAACGGATGGATATAAGGGAAAAATGATGCTGACAATTTAGATTGCTTCACTATTTCACTTACCTTCGGTTTAACATATATTGTGCAGAGTGATGAATTATGTAATATGTGTGATCAAATATTATATAATTCTGAGCAGTGTTTTATTATATTTTATGACACAAAAACTCTCTGGATTTGCTTTTTTGTATATACCTTCAAGATAAAAAGCTTTTAAGATATATAAGCAGTAGGAAATATGTGAAACGCAGATTTCTTTTAAAACATTATTCTTCACATGAATTCATCGGCCCATTTTTCTAAAGTACAATTGCTCCTGGGTTTTTGCTTGCATTGAAACATAACAAATACAGTTTAATTACATTCATACAGTACTTTGCAGACCATATTTCAAGTTGCACAACTGACCTTCTTTTCTATAAAAATACAGATATGGCCTAAATTATAGGAAATTCAATTATGGAACATTTTGAAAAGGAGAATCCTGTTGCTTTTCTTGCACATGGATCAATTTGGACCTCTAATACTTCTTTGCATTTCCTTAATTTATATTTATAAACATGGCTTTAATTTTTCTTAACTTGAAGGAAAATATACAATCATTTTACAGATTAATAAATACTTTCTTCAGAGAGCTACACAGGAAATAAAACCATACATTTAACAGATTTTTTTCAGAGACACAGAAAAATAAACTTTCTTTGCAAGGAAGAAATATAAACTACGATCCCACCACATGCTGTAGCAGGAAGGTCAACTCTTGTCTGTCCAGCAAGAACTTGAGATGTTTAAGTAAAATTCACTCGACTCACCTGTTTGGCTAAGCTGAGATGTGCTTCTACTTCTTCGAGACACGATGGCCACCACTTTGGCACTCAGGCTGGATCTCCGTTTCTTTCCACCTGCTCCAACGGTACCCACAGCAGTGTCAGACTGGCTGCCGTCATTGTGCTCCAGCGTGTATATCTCTCCACTCATGCTGCTGCTCTTCATGATGGCTCTTCCTGAACTTCCCATCCGTCTGCCTTGCATTTTAGGGGTAAATGAACTATATTTACAAAGTAAAAACATATATGCAACCATAAATCACAGGTCAGCACAACTGAAACACTAAATCTAATTTATTTTTGAAATAATCCAGGCACATTTTTGAAGAGGAAAAGCCAGACAAAAAGTAGTCATACAGCTACAAGTACTTAAAGATCACATCACCACTCCCATAGTTATTTACAAGGAATGTCTTTTAAAACTGACATTTCAACAGAGTATTCTCTAGATTTAAAAAATATAGTAAAAAGCACAACCAATGCTATTCATATGTGGTAAATGTTACCCAAAGGCCTTCTTAATGTTTTGTTTGCTCAAAATATTTGCAAAAACTAACTTACATGACCTTTACACATACAAATATAGAACCTTTTAACAGTGATGATGACAATATGTAAGTCAGAATATATCTTAGTATTACAGAAAGTACTGGGGTTTGTGGGCACATGTATGATGAATGCTCCAGTCATCAGGGAAAGTAGTAACAGGTAAGTTCAAAAAGACAGGAGGGCAAGATTGGGAGCTTTTAATAGCCACGGAAAAGAGATAAGACTAATTTTTATAATTTTTCATGGATTACGAATTGAAAAGTGGCACTTTCATTTGATAGGAATGATTTAGAAGTTTTAGTTCTTAGTTGAATTTCTTCAAGTGGTCTACCTCAAAATCCCAATAAGATTTTTGTTTTATTCTAATAAGCTTCTTATCAACCCAACATTTTGAGTCATTTACTTATCTGATTATTTTGTTATACACTTTATATAGGCCCCTTTTCAAAACATTAATGAGAATATCACATATGATCAGCCCAAAACTGATTTTTGTGGGGTTTATATTCCCAACTTTAATAAACTTTCCTTTTTGAAAAATGTTGTAATTTCTTCTGTGTCCTCAGTAATTTATTTCAATGCATTATCTAAATCTCCTGATCATTATCATTCTCTACATCTCCTTATCCATCCTCCTTAGGTCTAATCATACTGCCTGCTTTTTATAGTAATTTGCCTGCAGAAATCTGATGCAGGATATCCAGAGATGTCAAGATTTGGTCAGTTTTACAGTTCCAATGCATCCAAAATCAAACACTTGCAACTTAGAAATCAGTGCTCTTTTATCTTTCATCAATCTTTTTCAGCACAGATCCCACAATGATTATCAAAAACCTCTTTCTGATTGCTCTTCCCTTTATAGTAATGTGTGCACTAATTAACATGTACCTTCATTCTCCTTGTTACTTCCATTAAACTGGAATTCTATTATAGATCTGAATTTGCATTTAAAAGTTATTTCACAAAAAACACATTATTGGGAAATATGAATCAATGTTCCTTAGGTTATGAAGTTTAAAAGTATCAGAAATGTGTTTTATCATCTTTATATAATGAAAATATATTTACAATGAGCTGAAAAGATTTAAATGTTTTCCATGGTTATTTACATGCAGCAATGCAAGGTGAATAAATTTTGAGACATGATTCCCCCCAGATGAAATATTTGTTTATATGCTTAAAGTCATTTTCACTTATGAAGTGTCTAGTTTCCTAGATAATTATTTAGAATACTATTATGGTTTTTGTTTTGTTTTGTTTTGTTGTTGTCTTTTGGTACCAGAGATCGAACTCGGGTCTTTGTGCTTGCGAGGCAGGGGCCGGAACCACTGAGCTAAATCCCTGGCCCATTACTATTATGTTTAATGAGAAGCTCTTAAGGTATTTTCAAATCTCCTGTCTATCTAGGAGTCTCATCAGCCAGATTAACCTAGTTAATCCAAGGTCATGATTTTAGCACAAATATACATTCTACTTGTCCTTTTCTTACTTAGCCTTTTGACTCCCAGTCCTTTATTTTCTATTTTGTAAGTAATATTAACATTATGATATTACATATCAGCACGAACCTGATGCATTACTAAATTTGTTACAGCATCTTTATCACTGCTGAATGACTTGACTTGTAAGTAGAAAATGAATAAAGTGATCTGTTTGAAAACAGCCTATGATAAAACCCACCTTTAAAATTCAAAGAACCCTATCTTTCTTCTTTGATCCTCCCTCTTCCCCAAACTATTAACTTTTTGCTTAAAAATTTCCTTCATATCTCTAAAGCTATATTCATATCTAATCTATATATCTATATATATCCCTTAAGGAAATATATATATATATCCTGTCTTCATATATATATATATATATATATATATATACACACACACATAGATATAGATATACCCTGTCTTCTTCCCTTCTGAATTAATGAGTCAGGTTTTTCTGCACAACTTACTAAAGCTGCTTTTTATTCAAAGCAACCAATTCAGTAGAGAGGAAAACCCAACAGGTAGTGGCTTTATTGACCTAGAACATATTACCCAGGTTGGAATTTATCTTCAAAACTTCAGGATTCTTTTTTTCCCCCCAATAACCATGTGTGCATATGTGTGAATAATTATATGAGTGCCTTATCTATCTATCTATCTATCTATCCTTTTTCAATCATCCTTAGAATTAGGTTGTCATTTTGCTGGCTTTCTCTTTAATGAGTCAATTAAAACTGCAGTGTTTGCCATATATTTGTTCCTGATAATCACAAACATTATATTTGACAGTATTTAATAGTCCTGCTAAAGATGCCCAAATGAACTTGAGCTAACTAAGCTGTGTTGTGCAAGAAGGGCACTTTGGGACTCTCCAGCCCAGAGATGCTTTTTCTTGGCTTCTAGATTTAATACTTATGTTTCTTTTTTTCTAACTCTGGTGTTCAATGTGTTTTGTTTCTGTTTGCTTCTAGTTCTGGTTCTTGGAAAGTCTGGCTCCGATTTTGCTCCACTTGTGACTAATAACATATTCTTAACTAGTGGCAGCAACAACAGGGAATCTATCTACAGATGAATGTCTGTTGGATGGCAGACATCAAGGATATGTTAAAAATTGGCTAGCAGATGACAGGAAATCTGGTTTGTTAGGCTTGTTGTATGTCTGTTTGCATACTACTCAAAGCTCACATCACTCAAGAAAATACTTTGGGCACAATGGAAAATGAAAAGAACAATCCCACAAAGTTTAGGGTTAGGTTTATTAATTTTGATCCTATGGCTGAGTGATAAAACTGAAGCTTTAGTTCTCCTCACTAGTGATAATTTTCAACTGGTGATTAAAAAATTTGTTGCTTTGTGTGTACTCTAGAGATGCTATCAGATTTCAAATTACCTTACATTTAACAGAACTCCTGTTCTGATTGATCTGCACTGACAAACAAGTACCTTGATGATTCTAACCTAAGGGACTAAAGAATTTCCAGTGAATAAACTGATTTTTTTCTAAATTTTTAAATGTATAAGCTTTTATGAAAAATCTATTCTTAAGAAGTTTCTAATATGGATGAATTTTTGTATAAAGATCTAAATCTACAGAGTGGAGATATCAAAGTAATCTGATAATTTTGGCTGAACAGCTTCATGAAAACTGCAGTACGATTTTCCTTCACATGCACTATAACATCTATAATAATAATAAAAAAGAAACGAAGTAGTAACAAATGCTGATGAAGATTTGGAGAGATTAGAACCCTCAACATTTCTGGTGGAAATATGAAATGATACCCAGTGCTTTGGAAAATAGTTTGGCAGTTTAATTAAATGGAAATACAGTAAAACATAAAATTATCATAAAATTATGATCCAAGAATTTCATTCAAAAGTTAAAGACAAAGTTGGCATGGGACTCAACAATTTCATAGCTAAATATATATTCAAGAAATTTGAAAACATATATACACACAAATACACATATGAATGTTCATATCAGCATTATTCTTAACAGTCAAAAAGTAGGAACAACCCAAATGACCAATCAATTGATGAATGTAAAAGTAAAATACGGTATACCCACAAAACGGAATATTACTAACTATAAAAATGAAAGAAGTATTGATTGATGCCACAATATGTATGAAACTGAAAGGATACTACATGAAAGAACCCAGAAATGAAAGCCCACCTATGGTCCAACTCCATCTCAATGAAATAACTAAAAGTGAAATTCCTAAAGACTGAATATAAGCCAGTGCCTGGAGCTAGAAGAGAGGGAATTGGGACGTCTGCCAATAGGCACAGGTCTTGGGGTATGATTAGGAAAGTTATAGAATTAGATGGCTTCTCAACACTGTGACTGCACTAAAAAAACACTGAACTGTAAACTTTAACAGTGCATTTTATTGCATGTGAATTACATCTCAATTTTCAAAAGTTTTATGTCTTTTCCTACATTTTATTAAGGTGGCATATTATACAGTATAAGCACATCATTTTGTTTTATTTGTTAAGAGTAAGGATAGTTTTCTCATGGGCAGACTATTTAATCTGAAATCCCTTCCTAATGTCTATATTGGTTTTATTAAATAGATAAGCTAAAACTTGTCCCAATAAATTACGGAAAATAATATAACTACTTTGAACTATAATTTTGAAAAAACTCTCTGATATCAACAGTACTTAAATTGGTTAGTGTGTACTTTATATGTAGAATAAACACACAGCCTGCATATGGTCTAGTATTTCTTCTATGGCTTACATGATATTAGAACGATAGATAGAGAAGAGGGTCTACCCTGAACTTAGCAGAATTTTAGAGACCTCATACTGATCATACTGATGAGTACAGGAAATGAAGCTGGTGGTAATAATGTTTAGCCCACAATGTAAATTATATATGTGATTTGGTATGATATTATTAGCCATAGAACAGCAAAGTTAATTGAAAATCTATACACAATCAAATTGAAGATGCCATCATTATTAAGATGCATGATTATTCTACATAATTGTTAAAAAGAAAAAATACTGCTAATTAAACTTTGACTTGCCATCAATGGTAAAATATATACTGATTTCAGAGATGTTAAAATATAAACAAGTATTGGGCATTTTATAATCAATTCTGTTATGGAAATAAATTGAGAAGTAGATGTAAAAGAAAAATTTTTAAAGATGGATAAAAAGAAAATTGA